TTAATGTATCTCAGCAGGTAGTAGACATCATTATCTAACTACCAACAACTTCTGTATATCAGTAACATAAAAATATGAGACTGGACATCTGCCTGAAACTTCAGCTGATAGGGTAATAATACAAAGATAATTTTTCCAGCTATCTTCATTGGTCTAATAAAGAGATATTAGTCTTCCCTTTAAGACCTTGCCCAAAATAAAGCTCTCCCTTCCTTGGTCATGCGTGATGGAGGAGAGCATAAAGGTGTCAAGGTCACTCAGGATCATATTGATCCAAGACCACAGTTTCTTATGATTATCTTACGATTGCTGTAAACCCTGTCCAAAATAGTATGCATAGCATTTACTACACACCTAGCTGTCCATTGGCACCTTTTGTGAGAGTAATTTCAGGAATCTCATCTGGCCTGATAGAGGGATGCGGATCACTGTCAGCACGACCAACCACAAGGTGCAGATCAGGAGGAGAGCTTTGCAGTAAAGTCAGGGCTTCATTGCATGGTAAAGATGTGACATCAATTCCATTCACCTGAATGACAAACCGGTAAAATGATGTCATAGATCTCATTGACCATTATGTACTTCACCCTCCACTCTAAATTTTGCATATGAACTTAAATTAGTTTTTACTTTCATGTTACTGCTTTTGCTGTGGTATTTAATGTCAGTGAATGCAACAGTTAAGGCTACAGTAAGATTTCTTTTTTGAGCTTTTATTTTTCTGAATGCAGAGTTTTCATAAAAATAGCTCTTTTTTCTTGAAACTCAAGGTCTTGTAGCAAAAACCAAGGAAGACAGCCTAATGCAAGAAAATGAAGATGAACCAGGCTGAAAACAGGCTTTATTCATACATTAAAAAGGACTTAACTCCTGCATCCTTTGTATGTCACCTATCTTATTACATTAATTCAGTTTATGTCATTTAATTGGGAAGGCATTTAATGTCTCAGTTGTCTTGCATTGCTGCTAGATGATTCATGTTATTTGCCCGGTCATACAATCTATCCAGTCTGAAATTTGTCCTACTGAAGTCAGCAGAATTGCATTTATTATAGGATCCATTTGCACTTGCATGCCTAAATATGTGATAAACTGGACCCTACGGAAGGAAGAATACCGAAGCTAAATGACATTGATCTGCAAATATTATCTCCTCTGCGTAAACTCAAAGGATTACTGTACCATAATGATTCTGTCTCCCCTTCTTAGTCTTCCATCAGACAGGGCAGGGTCATTCAAGATTTCGTCAACATATAGGCAGTTGTCCACTTTGTTAAGAACTACAGAGAATCCATAACCGTTGTTCTCTGACTTCGTCAAAGTCACAAAGATCTCCAGTTCCTATTAAAATAAGCACAAGATATGTTTGATGTAGGCTTTTCTGTTGCTTCATTAACGTCTTCCATTATGTTTTATATGCAGATAGGAATCAGATCCTCAGATGGTATAAATAAGAGCATACATGAGGATTTCTCTGATCTGTCACTGCCTTATCTGGAACTAATTTTACTTCTTTTCACCTAGTGGAGCTTCATGGTGATTGATTGATAGGGCCTAATACGGCAGAGAATACCATCAGGGACTGGAATTTTGGCATTTGAAATGTGTAAAGAAAGGCTTGGAGTCCTCTGAGCTGACCAGCATTGCAATAGTAGGGTGCAGAGATTATTGTTGTTATCGCTATTGCTGTCCCACTGAAGGAAATGGCTGGACCTAAATTTTGTCCTCGGTGCTCTCAAATTAGTAGGAATTCAGAGCTCATTAGTGTCAGCAGAAATGCAAGATGTTCAGCATTTGGCAGGACAGAGCCCTGTATTTTGAATAGTAATTAGCACAAGGATCATACTTTCTTATCAGGACATTACAGTAGTATTACTGTAACAAAGTGATTTTCCACATGGGTTTACAACACGACAGAAAAAACCCAAGTAGCTGACTCCAATTAATTTTAGAGGCTACTAGAGGGCTTTTAGGCCTTTGTACACTGGGAATAATACTGCAGAATGCTGGAAAGTTAAAGAAATAGTAAGATGGCAAGAGGAAGGAGATGGCCTTAAGGCAAATGGTAAAGAATTCTGGAGAGCTGGGCATAGAGGAAGGTCTGCTTTACTTGAAGGTTGTGGACATTCAGGAAAGTAAAAAATGCTATGCAGAAATAGCATAGATAATGAGTTAAAATTAATGTTTAAGAATGTTGCATTCTTAAGGGTGTTTCTTTTCCCTTGTCATATTCTACCTGTTAATAATCTAGTGCCTATCACATACCCTAGTGCAATCTTCCTTTTCTTCCTTCTCTTCCTCTAGTTCCTCCAAGTCTTCCCATTCATTGTCACTGTCATGTGTCTCTCTAGCAGGCAGGGATGATGAGAAAAGACCACAAACACGTGGTTGTGGGGTCACCATGGTTGTGGAGAGTGTCTCGGAGCTTCCTCCCCGTGAAAGTGAGGTCACAGATGCTGAGCTGATAGTGAGATACTCTTCATCAATAGGGGTTAGAGAGAGAGTTTCAGGCATACATTTTGTGTTCGATAGGTCATCATCACTCTTATTAAATATGTGGCTGGAAAATAAAAAGATTGCAGTGCTGGGGTTTTCCTCCATATGCTTTATTAGAAGGCCACTGAAAAGTCTACTAGTTATACACGACCTAATTTTAATTTTAACTGAAGTACTAGTCATGGTATTAAATTGCTGTCTGGGTCCTCCAGTGTTACTATAAAAATAAATAAGTAATCAATATTTTGCAAAGCTAGTTAAAAGATTAAAAAGCTTTCAGAATTTGAAAACAGCCTTTGCAAAACCTTGCGCTTTTTTTTTTTAAGGCATTAATTAGTACTTTGGTTGCTTCTTGAAATGAATAATTGGACAATTCCTAGACCATTAATTATTTCATCTGCCATAAACAACTTAATTAACTTATCTGGTAAGTGCTGTGCACATTACAATACTACTACAATTTTCATATTTGCATTTTTCCTGAAAAAGGAATGCCAGCCACATTCCTGGCTCCTACAGGTCTTTCCTTGGTAGCTAGAGCACAGACCAGAAACACGAAATATGAAGTGATTCCTGTGTCTCCATAAAGAATACAAGTCCTGACTTCTTTTTGTAAGCCTGCTTTTATTCTTATGCTTGCCTTGAAGCATAAGAGTTGTCCTACGGAAATCAATGAATTTGTTCAATTACTTGAATTAAAATTATTATTGATTTTATTCCACTATATTGGAGACACAGTATTCAGCACTTTTAATGTTCAAGCCCAGACTGTAATCGTATGTATTGTGTTTAATACTGTTTTGGCTGTTGTCATTAATGAATTCTAATAGACTACTATAGCATTGTCTCCCATTAAATTTACCATTAAAGTTAATAGAAATGCTTGAAACATTTTTGTTTTAAAGTGTGTGTTTTCTTTGTATCAATCTTTACTGAAATATTGCTAAACCTCATTCATCTTAAAAGCACTTAAAATGACGTAGCTTTTATTAATGCTTCACATAGCAAAGATGATACCCTGTCATTTCATATAGAACAGTTGCCTAGAATCTTTCACTCTGATAGAACTGAACTGTGTCTGCCATCTCCCAAGCAAACATATACAACTAAAAGGAACACAAATTATGTCTTGTATGAAATCATAGAAGATCCCCAGTGTTAAGCTCTTGCTTCAAAAGTTGTCTATAGTCAGAAGGAAAATATAAAGCAAAGTTGCAAAACAGGCATTTTGGCTGGATATGGCTAGTAGCCTTCGATGGTATTTTTGAAATACTGATGAAAATAAGAAAAAATTATAGGCTCGTGCTGTGTGCTGTCAGTGAGGGAAGCAATCTAGTCTGTTAGCTTCTATCTGTGCAGGGAGGCAGTGAGAAATTGGCCATCTCCAGTAGCACAGCAAAGCTGAGAATGAAGCTGATGGTTTGTGCTTTAATAGTTGGACAACAGATTACTTACAATACTGTGGAAGAAGGCTGGGATAATTAAAAGAAATGTTTAAGGATAACTGCAAATGCAGCCTGCTCCTTTCTTTCGGAGACAGGAAAGAAAAGATTAAGTTCAATGGATGTTGGTCAATGTGGGTGTCATAGAAGCTGTCACGTGCTAGTGGAGTGCTGACTGACCTTCAAAGGGTATGAAAGGTGTTTGGCAGAGCTACACAAGCTCAAGGCAATGAGCCAGCAGTGGCTTAATCATAGCACAGCTTCTAGCCCATCTCTACATCACCATGGGAAATAACATGAGTCTTGGTCCTGCAGGCCCATACACGAGCTCCACTGACATGCTCGACTTTCTTTTGGAGTCTTGTGACCCCTACACCTGGACTTCACAGGGGAAAACTACGGGTTAAAGTTTTTCAAAGCAGCTTTTTCAAAGACTCATATTGGTGGCAATGAGAAGAAGAGTGAAAGGAATTTTCCATGTGAAACGCCGAGCAGGGGACTTCTAAAATTCATATCAAAAGATTTCTATATTTGCATGAAAAGTTTTGAGCAATCTGAAGAAAAGAAATTTCTTCATTAATCAAAAGGAATTCCTTCATTAATGACTATGTCCTTCTGGGGGTTTTTATATGTTTTCAGCTGAAAGTATCATTTAAACTGAGATTACATTTAAAATATTGTTTAAAATGCATGCCGTGTTAAACTGCTCTGTCTGCCTTTTGAAAATGCAAAAGCTGAAAATAATGATACTAATAATGTACCAAAAAACCCCATTTATTTCAGAGCTTCCTTCTTGGGAAGAATCCAAAACTTTTCTTGGAATTGATGTTTTCCCACAAGAAACTTAGTTTTGTTGAAATTGTATCTCTTGGCAAATATGTTTGCTACAGACATATTTCTGCTGGTTTTATTCTCAGCAGTAGAGAAGCATATATGTAAGCAGGAGCTTCACTCACAAATGTGAATGAAGCTTCTCCTCTCAAGAGAGAGGAGCTAAAAGTATGAATTACCATTATGGTCCCACTTGACTTGCAGTCAGCTTGTGCTGTGAATCCCCAGAGACTGGAATCTCTGACTGTCTGGTTCTGTGCTTGATGAATGTCAAGAGTAACAAAAGGATTTCAAGTGACTGTGTGGAAAAATAGAAATTAGTTTCTAGATAAAATTACTGAAGTTGTAATTTAAAGGTCTCTATAAGACCTTTAACTTGTCTTTCCACCAATCCTTTCTGTTCTGATAATTTATGGTCTTTTCCACTGGGAAAGTTGATTAAAATGGAATGGATAGTTTTCTGTGTGCCAGTGTCTGGTATATCCAAAAGAGTGTAAAAGGAGGCTGAGTCCATTTGCACTGTATTTTATTTTATAACTCCTCTGGCTCAGGGCATCCATTGGCTTCTGAAGACCGGAAAATAACCTGTTTTTTTTTCTCCTTGATCACAGTTTGTCTTCTGAGGTTTTTTTATTTTCTCTGAAAAAATTTGAAATTACAAGATCATACAATAAGAAAGAAATTTTTGGTGCCTATTTAAGTCAACTCTGAGAAAATTGAAATTAAAAGATCATATAATAAATAAGAAAGTCTTTGGTTCCTATTTAAGTCAACAAGAGTCTTTCCACTGATTTCAGACTGCAGCCAGCTTCAGCTGAATAGCATAAATGGTTACAGTAGTGCAACACTCATACAACTGTCTTGCAATGCAGACTTGCGCAAAATTCTAGTAAGATGAGAGTAAATAGAGACAGCAGATTAGGATAGTCAGAATAAAATGGTAAAACAAAATCTTCAGTAATCAGCAGCGATTAGAAGCAGATAGCCCTGTACTTAAACCTAAGCAATTCACTTTCAAAATTCTAAGAGCTGAAGGAAAGGCTGCAGAGCAGATTTCAGTATTCCTTACCTTTTGGCCCATCCAAATTCACATGGTGAGTAGCAGTTCTGCTTCACTTCTTCCTCTAGGGAGTGGAAGACTTCAGAACTGGCAGCTTCTTGAGGAAACGTCCGAAGATGCTTATAGAAACTTTCCCTGGGAGTCATAAGTTTCTGTATGGGCTTCTCTTGAAACTCAGCTTCCTGCTCTTCGTAAGTTGAGCTGTCCTCTTCAGGAGGCTCACTGAAATCTGCTGCCACTGGAGAATCCAGGCAGTCTTCGAGGTCTGGAGAGGTGCTACCTCCATCACTGGTAGACTGATCCATACTATTTCCTACCTCTGTACTGCCTGGCATTTCTGCCACAAACTCCTTAATTGGAGATGGTGCTGGAGTCTATCAAAATAACAGAAAGGTTAGTGTAACTCCTTTTTTATCTCCCATCTTCTTTCCTTTAAGAACAAAATAATTTGAAGAGGCAACATCAATAAGCATCGGAATGTGAAAATATCAAATGGTAGCTGGAAGGGAGGGAAAAACTACAGGGAGGTACTCTCTCACTAAATAACTGTTTTGTCTTTATGCTCATCTTCCACATTCTTCAGGAGTTTCAGCCAGGGAACTACTACACAAGTTCACTTTTCCCAATGAATTCTTTCCTAGAGGTGGCCCCTTTTTATTTCTTTTCATATTGTGCCTCAACTTTGTGTCTATATTCTCTTCATTGTGTAGAAGTGGCTTCCAGATTTGACTCCTGTGCAACTGAGCATAGAAATCGGCCAAGGGCACCTTGTAGGAGAGCAACAGGAGCCAGTTTGTTATCTGGAGGTGGTCCTGACAGTCACTTCTGTCTGGCCATGGACAGCACTTATAAATCCTGGTGGGACAGGAACCATGAGTGGGCCATTCTGCATGGAGCAAGAGTAATGCAAATGCATGTTCATTATACGAGTACTTGTGTGTGTGTCCATGAGTTGTGTTCAAGAAGCAGGAATAATAATACTAGCACACCTAATGGCACTATTTTAGTCTCTGCAGTCTCTACTGTTTGATTTTTTTCTTCCCCCCCCCCCCCCCCCCCCCTCTTCTCTTAAAAAAAAAAATAGGTTTGTTTTTTTTTTTCCCCCCCCCCCCTCCCGCAGATTCTGCTATCAATAAGAAGCTGAATTATCAGTTGAAACCATTATTTCATTTATTTAAGTTTACTAAGAGGTAGCCTGGATAGGAGAAGTTCTTTATTTTCCTCTCACTTTTGGGAGTAATATAGCTACCTCAAGCCCACTAGTTACAATAGCTGCAGTTGAGAATATCTGCAGTTTCTGGCTGAGGATCTAGTGGAGCATTTTTAAAAGCATCACGAGAAGATCTGCTTGGGTATGTGCTGTTTGACTCCAATGACAGTACTGCAATTCAAAAGTTGTTGGACTGGGATAAACATGTTTCACGTCTGTCAGATTTATATTATTTGGTTGCTACGGAAGAATCAGTTGAACTCTAGAGGTTGAGTTGAAGCCAGGAAGGGAAAGAAACGGAATAGAGAGCCTTGGAGAAAAGGGAAGGTTGCCTTGTTCAAGACTGGATAGAAAATGTAGTAGTGTTTTTTCCAGGTTTACAGAAGCAAGTTTACTGACAGAAGCTTTGCCTTACCAGGGCACTCTGCTCTATTTCCGGAAGAACGCCTTTTGGTGGTCTGCAAATTAGTAGTGTGACTTCTGGAGGAGCTCCTCGCAGCAAGTGCAGGACATCCTAAGCAGGAAGAAGTAATATTACATTTCTTATGGAACACAGTCTATAGTACATGTCATTTTACCAACTGGGATGGAGAAAATTTTTATTGTGAATGCCAAATTCCTAGTATTTGTGCCTCTCAGCAGTGTCTGGGGGACAAAATTCACTACTGTATGATTGTCATATAAGTGGACCATAGTTTTTATGTGAATGTGTATCTGAAGTAAAGTCAGTTATGTTTACAAACTCTTGTTCCACCCACAGACACATAGGTTTAAATTAATTATTTTTCTTTTCTTGAAGAAAACAGCATTTTCAGAAAAATACATTTAAACTCCATGTGGCAGGGACACATCTTCAGTCAATTATATCAGCATAGCTCCACAGACTGCCATATTGACATAACCAAAGGTAGACTTTCTCGGAGCCCCTCCTTGACATAACGTCAATTCAGTGGCATTCAGCTTTCAGCTATAGTGGGAGCTGAAATACTTAATCTAGAGGGAAAAAAAAAAATGCTTTAGGCCAAAACACCCCGTCTTCCCCTCTGCACAAACTGAGTAAAAAGGCTGTACGTCAGAGAGTAAGACAGTGCTGGAAAAGGACAGACTCCGGGTCAGAAAACAACCAATGGAGTACAGTTACAGCACCCCACCAGGTGTCTAGGACGTACAGCACCTTGTCTTTTGCCCTAGTTATTTAATGATACAAATGACCTGTCAGTGGGAAAATTGCATGATTTCATCATTTCTGTTTGTTACCAAACTTATCTATTCAATGCATATTCATATACAAAACTCAGGGGTTTTCATAAGGTGAAAAGATTACGATGAAAAAAATAAATCCAGATGTAGTCCTTTTTTACCATTTCATTTCTTTATGTGAGTACAGAATTTCTTATTCCTGGTAAAAAAGTTACACTGGATTTACCTCACCTAGAGGTAGAGATTTGAATCTGGGGCATGGTATTTAGCATGACATTACAAAGCACAAATGACCACAGGGAAAAAATGTTCCAATTATGCATAACAGCAACAAAGATTCCAACTGATTAACAACTGGTGTGCATCTAACAATAGACTTTGTGCATCAGTAGTAGAAAGTTATAAATTAAATCGTGGAAGAAATTCTCTGTAAGAATTCTGTTAGGAAGGAAAGTGTCCATAAGAATTCTAGAGAAGAATCCTACATAGAAATCAGATTCATTATATGCAAATTCTGACCCCCTCTGGTGATAATTAAGTTTAAATGCAGTTTCATCCCATTGTCTTTATTAACGTGTTACCCATCAGAAGCCCAGTGACAGTACTGCCTGGTACCTGATACAAGAGTCCTTGAATAGGTTTCCCATTCACAGCTAAAATGATGTCTCCGACTTCAATTTTGCCATTCTCTTCAGCTGGCTGCCCTGGAAACAGTCTTTTGATCCTGACAATAGCTCCTCCAAGGTGTTCCCAAGCATCTCCTTCCATTTGCAGAACACTAAAGCCGAGGCCTCCGGAATTCTTTGTCAATTTCACTTCAAATGTATTATCTGTTCAAAGCAGGGAGTGGAAAAAGAGTGGGAGCCGTGGCATATGTACCCCCTAAGGAGCTGATGTAAATTATACCCTCAGCAGACCTTTTCCCTGTGTGCTGCAGGGGTGAATCTGCTGATACTAACAGCAAAAGAAGGGTTTGGTGTTCCTTTAACTTATGTGAGCCCTTGAAATCGCACAGGCTGAATGGGAGAACTGGATTCTATTCCACCGTGTGTTCACAGACTTTGTGCCATCTGGTACAAGCCCATAAAGGAAGAAGCCTTTTGTACCAACATAAAAAGGTTCAAATGCTATCCTTTTCTGACATTCTTCTGTAAGTGTTGGATAGATCTTACTGTTCTGTAGCTGCCTGATGTTAGTTTGGGTCCTGAACTAACCAGCATAAGCTAGAATCAGAGCTACTGCTCTTTCCAGACAAGAGCAAGAGACCATCCCTTTCCCAAATACCATACTTGCAGCTGAACCCCATTCTGCTAGGGACAATATACAGGAGTAACTGCCTCACGGGAAAGTATGTTCAGACTTAGTGTTTATGAGACAGCCTTACAGTAAAAGATACAGCATTTATTTATTGGCTAAATTCAGTGAAAGTGAGCGCTGAATCTTCTGCTTTTAAGAAATGAAGCTATGGCAGTCTCCAGTCCTGGCCCTGGGGCAGCAGTTCACCCTAGCTGCGTCACTGACACAGCATCAGCAGTTGCGCTGGCGGTGCTCTCTTTGGGTAACGGACTGGCAACATCAACACAGCTGCTTCCTGCCCGAGAGTGCTATAGAGTACAGACAGGGACGTCCCCTGCCAGCCCCATCTCACGAAGGCTGAGAGAGACAGCATTTATGCCTAGGATAAATTCAGCTATATCTAGCAACTGGAACTCTAAGTACATCAGAAATATTTTGTTCAGCATTGATTTTTGATAATGCCATTAATATTCCACATTATATTTTTATTCGGTATGCAGTTTTCCTCCCAACCCACAGAAATTTCATAGAATTCATTCATTCCTTTCTTGCACATTGTAAGAAGTCACCCTGAGTTCCTTTTTTATCACTCACCATCTGTCAAAAAGCAGTAGCCTTTGGTGCCATCTGTGAAGGATGTTGCCACAGAAACAACTGCACATTGGTCCTCCTTTCTGTCACTAGCCGTCAGGCATGGCTCTGCCAATTGGTAGTTTCCCCTTTCTAGAACCAGCTTGGCAATCTAAAACAATGATGAACAGGTTCCAGTTACACAGTACACAGTGAGCCCTAAGTCTTTTTACTTTTCTTTTTAGGAGAATGGGGTTGGATGGGGTGGGGGGGAAGTTTCTTTTGGCCCAGCTTTGCTACTGTGCTTCATACTAAGTGCAGTTTATTCTGCTGGGTTTCTTATTGAGCTCTGCTGTTGTACAAACCTGGCCAGATTTCTTAAGGTGTTCCACAGCCTGTTTGTGGGTGATGCCGCAGAGGCTGATGCCATCTACTTCCAGCAGACGATCACCTGAGGCAAAAGAAAACAAACAAACAAACAAAAAAGGGTCAAGTTGCTTTGATGTTCAAGTTCAGTGGGTGCAGACCTTGAGGCTGCCCATGCTGCAATAGATCCTCATGCTTACATGTGTCAAATTATGTTACTTTGTATGAAAGCAATACTGCTTGTTGTACAGCATTCTATAAGTAGCACTTAAAACATACCAGGGTATTCTGTAAGTAAGGGCAGTGATAGCATCTGGTTATCACAGCAACACTGGAAGTAGATGTCAGAGTCGCTAGCCTGATGCGCAGCTACAGAGAGTAACTGTACAATGTTGGTATGAGGCTCCTGGTTTTTCAGTGGGATATCTACATGTAGTACAGGGACAGGCTGAGGAACGATGGGCTGCATATTACATTTCACAGTTGTATGACCTCCAATCCCAAATATGATTCCTTGTCCCTGTGGCAAGCATTCCACACTAACATTGAGCTCTGCAGCCCACAGTTTTATTGCCAGACATGTTACCTATCTTTATTTGTCCATCCTTATCTGCTGGTCCCCTGGGAATAATTGACTTCACGTATATCCCACCGTGACGCACACTAGTGTTAATTCCACCCTGAAAAACAGATGCCCACAGATTAGAGTGGAGTCATCACATCTTCTTCCTGTGATAAAAATCAAAATAACTTATGCATTGCAAAGCAACTGCTTCAGGAATTACTTTTAAAAAAAAAAATAGGAAAAAAAGGAAAGAGGATGTTACTACAAAGTCCCATCTAGTTGTAATATACTTCCCTAGGCAGTAATCTTGTTTTGTTTTCTCAGGAAAATGCAATGCATTTCTACGTGGCTATATAAAAACATTTGCTAAATGTTCATAAATTTTTCCCTATGCTAACGTAAAAATGGGGTTGCATCTTTCAGTCAGTCTCTAGCCCAGCTTCCAAACTATGCAATAGCCATTCAGCAATTATTAACCTTTCAGACAATACATAAAGCATAGACCTGAACTTGTGCAGCCATTTGAGAGCCTACAGCTCAGAGGAATTCCAGATTAACCTAAGAATCACGTTCTGCCCATCTACATCCCCTGGCCAAATTCAGATGAAAAAGCAGCTCTCAATTTCTTCTGCAGGCAGTGAAATGGCTGATGCTTCCCACTCAATTTCAGCAAGGACTGCAAAGACATCTCAGCCTGGAGGGGATAAATTCAGCTTTAATAGCCAGGACAAGGAATTATTCAAATGTGGCAGATAGTTTTCACTGCTGCCTTCTCTGGTCCTCTAAATATACGGAGAACTGTATTTCCTTATATTAGGAAATAAAATCAGCTAGGGGCCTTTCTCTGGCCTTCAGAGTAAGAAGCATGGCTTATCTTGAGTCCATACAGCTAAACTTTCAGCCCCCACAGCATGGGATGGCTTCTGTTATACCGCTTGTTGAGGCACAGGTCAAAGCCATATCGGGGGCTGTCAACAATTAAACAGTGCCTGTGGGCCACTGCTTGAGCCCATGCCATGGTCCTATGTAATCCGCTTGTGCAGACACAGCCTTTGAGTTCTAGGAGCTCCAGGGGAGCAGCAAAACCAGTCATGACTTGGGGAATTCTTTGCATCGCTGCATTTTCTAGAGGCTATGGCTATATCCCTTCCTGACCAAACTCCACTTCCAGTGGTAGGTCTTGTTCTCAACTTGAGTAAGGGTAAAAAGGGCTTGTACTGCCACGTGCTTTATGCCGGCACACTTCTTTCACAGGTTCTGTGGGCAAGAACTGGGGAATGAGCAGAGCCAGTACTTTATGCTTTCTCTGTCAGTCAATGGGACACTTGGGTTTGAAACATGCCATGCTAACAGTTCTTGTTATCAGCCTGTTTCCTATCTTTGTTCCACATAAATAGACTTCCCCATGGGTTTCTTGGTCACGTAACAGTTTGACAGACACACTGAAAGGTTAACAGTAACACTTGCAGTCACACTGATTCCAAAAGTCCCGTCTTCTTTAACAAGCTCCACAGTATAGATTTCCTTTGAGTTGGCTTCAGATGGAGATGGTAAGTGCAAAGAATCAGCTTCCTGTCTCAAAAATATAAACATCAATGAGACTACAGCATCTCAATAAAAAAGGGGGGAAAAGGAAGAAAAAAAAGGAGAGAGTTTCTAGAAGATATAAAGGGTTTGATCCTGATGTCACTGTAAGCCTGGCGTGGTACCATTTATATCCCTGACATTATTTCAAGCTTACACTAATGTTACTCAAAATATTATCTGTCTAAATGTGCATAAGCTGAGTATGGATAGGGAGGCTGTCTAATAGTAGGAAATTAGACACAAAATGTTGCTGTTCTGTGCCTGGTTGAAAACTTAAGAGATTGCAAGAAAATAATCAAAATTTTGTACCTCCACTGGAAAAGGGAGGAGACTTTTTAATAACATTTTGTGGTTAATAACAAATGGGTTTCCCCATTTTTTCACATATTCTAGACATGTCTATCATTTTGACATTTCCAATGTAATTTAACAAGCAACATCTTCCAAGGTTTTCCTTCTCCTTTCCTCATTTTTTTAATTTCTCAGTTACTTTCCATTCTTAATATAGCTGGCATGTTGTAAAGACACATTCTGGGCATAGTATTACTGAATAGCATCAAAATCTGAGTTACCTCCACATCCAGGCTATCAGCTGAAGGAACTGGAATCTTAGGGCCCAATTTTGGTGATAAACTCCAGGAAAGAGCCTGCTCAAGTTCATCTATATTTATGTCCTGTTCTTTGGGGAGAGCTGTATGGCAATCCTGAATCTTTTTTCTCCCACTGTCTACACAAGAGATCTCAGATCCACTAGTGCTGTTTCCTCTTGATAGATTCTTTTCTTCATTTAATCCTCCTTCATACATGTCTGTAAAGCCGTACCAAAATAAAACATTGCTGAATGCAAACAGTAAGTAAACTTGAAGGCAAATATTATTATACCTCAGCACAGGAGGACAAAGTAACTTCCTATATCAACTGGTTGTGAAATCAGATCTATAAAATGAGTCAGTCGTCGTAAAATGGAGTGCTGCTATTATAAGTGCGGAGAAATGTATTTGCTTCGTCACTGCAGAGGACTATGACTCTATCAGAGAAAGAAATGCCAAAATTCCCTTGGTATTCAGCAATGCAGCCCATAATAGATTTTTTCACACTGACTGTAGAACAGAGATCACATGCTACCTGCTAGAAGTTGATTATTTTCACTGCTAGCCTACGGTTATTGTAACTGGCACTGAGTAGCAAGAAAGTACTACTACATCCCAGTGCCTAATAAATACCGGTGTCCTGAGTTAACTATTAGCATTCCATAGCCAGCAAAGGCATTTGCCTTTATACCTTTGGGTTGAGAGATGATGAGCTCCACTTCATCGGGAGAATTCTGTATGATTTTAACTGCAGTATTAAATGAAACGCCCTCGAGACTAATATTATTCACAGAGATGAGTCGTCCTCCTTAAAAAAAAAAGGATAAAAACAAGACAAAGCACATCTAAATAAGGAAATAAATCCAGAGTAGCTAACTTTAAACCATGAAAGTTTTTTAATTCTAATTAAAAACTAAGGACAATGACCTGGTTTGATATTTCCAGCTCTGTCTGCAGGTCCCCCAGGGATAATTGAAGCGATAAAGATACCGAGGTCTAATTTTCCTACATTTTCTCCTCCAATAATTACAAAACCTGCAAAAATGAGATAGCATGAGAATGCATAGACACTGGCAGTATTAGAAAAGATGAACCTTAGGAGCACAAAAGGCTCTTACTCCAATGGCGTAAATTTTATACATGGTATGGAGAATGGGGAGCTCTGATTTACATGGCATCAAGGACTTCATTTGGGAGAGCTTTAAACTCACGTTATAATTAAAGCGTGCTGTTGACTTTGGTGGCTATTTAAATATAATTTCTCAATAAGAATTCTCTCCTGGCTTGGGAATTCTAAAGTTTCCAACTACTTTTTTGCAAGAGTCATAAACTATGTGGACCTTAGTATTTAACGCCCGCAGGAGGAAAACGGTTTAAAAGCTCATTAGATAAATTTGAACATTGTTCTACATCACGTAGTCTAGGGCCCCTGAGGTGGGCCGTGTAAACTTTTAACGGATATGTAAGAGATAGCTAACAAAATTAAATCTATTGTCAAGTAGTTCAATTTCACTATCCTAGCTCAGAATATTCTGCCTATTGCAGAATATATTCTTCTCACTGGTAGAATAGTTGGGTTTAGGATCAGGATATTCCACACAGACCTGCACCATTTAGAAACTTGATCTTTGATTGTATTAATGGTCAGCTGTGAAACCTGATGGTCCTCTGAACTCATCCACAAGAACAGGATACACTGCGATAGTGTATTATATAACAAAAATGTTATCCAAATAAGAATCCAAAAGTCAGGAAACATTCACGTTAAGCTTGTGTACACATTTTGCACCCCCACAGGCAATACCTGAAAGGTTTGCGGAACATCGTCTCCCCCTGTGTAAGGTCTAAGATAAATAAAATCACTGCGCATGTACTTCAGATACAAAACTAGACCCTTGTTCCTTTCATTCCACTGCACATGTATTTCAGATACAAAACTAGACCCTTGTTCCTTTCATTCTACTCTTAGCACTTGGTCCCCTTGACCTCTGTGGCCTTAGTTAATCCTCTGAAAAAACTGTGGTCTTGATTTATGCGCTTAGTCCTTTTCAGTCTCGAAAATTCTAAGTCCTTTCCAAAGATTAGTAGTCTTATTCTATAAGAAGAATAAATGAGGTGAAGAAGGTTACAATCTTGCTCAGCTTGAGTCAGCAAGTATCAGTGTTAGCACCAGGATATGACAGCCCCAGTAACAAATATAACGTTCATGTTCCTTACTTACCAAATCCATTCTTAGGGTCACGTTTTAGGCTGACACAAATGATTTCTCTTTCTAGACCACTTAGCAAAACTTCCTTCTGGATGGCTGGTGATCCAGGCGCTGCAGAAACAAAACAGCTAGAATAAATGCAGATTAATGCAGGGAGACAGTAGATTCATATAGTATGCAAAACTGGGGCTTCAAAAATTAAAAATACATTTTGTCCTTGTTTTCAACCGTACCATTACTTCTGAATCAATATAATGCAGGAAGGAAGCTCAAACAAGTGTTTGGAAATTTGCATTATTTAGAAAGGTGTATGTACAGTAGCTGTGTAAGCTCTTCCTATAATGTTCGTTTCTGGGAGAGTACGCATTCATCTGCAATATTTTTATTGAGATTAGGATATTTAAAGAGTCACGCATGTAGCGCCCATTGAACATGAGGGTGATTTGGACACAAAATCTCCTATGGGTTCCTTTGGAAACTCTAGCCTTCGGCCCCGTGGGCCCTTTTGGCTCTGCAGGTGCAATCCAATCAGCACTGATTGTGATGGTGACTTTTGTAGTGTTAACACTACTTAACATTGTGCAATTGCCACAGTGTGTTTAAATTACAGTTCTAATTTTAAAATGGACTAACCAAATAATCATAGCTTTGTATTCCATAGATCAGCTCACTGTGTGCATGCAGTACGGTTTCTGTTAGAAAATTAGGTGTCCAGTTCTTCTTATTCCAGTTAGTGTCATGCAAATGCAGGAACAGAGGAAGGACCTGGAGCCTATGTTGTCTCATGCATTATTTATTGAGTTGTAGATCTCAGTTGCAAACCAAATGATGACCTCTGAGCACAGGGATATTGCCCCATGAGAGAGTCCTGGGTGTATTGAACTACGTCTCTGAAGAGCATTAGGCACCATTGATAGAATAATTTTATCATGAAGTCCCTTATCACTGATCCTGATGGAAAGCAGGAGTGAAGGAGAAGAAAACAGCTTGTCTTGCTAAACTCTGGGTTAATTACCAGGACTAGAAGTGCAAAAGGATATTCTTTAATCTGTGAGTAGAATATATTTTGGTCTCCTGTTATTGAAACAACAAATATGGAAGGGTACTGTCTCTCTTTATGATTATTATACTCACCACTGATTGTGTTCTGAGTTGAGTGGATAGAGAGGTAGTCATAACTCCTTTGCTTTCCATTCAAATTGATGTGCATTTCTGACTGGGATAGCCCTGACGTGGATCTGCACAGCAGGAAATTAATACTGCATTACAATAACAAATCAGCAATGGTATTTAGCACTCTTCATTGTCATTAGTCTGTCAGAGCCAAGTTGGGAATGCACATGTTTATAGCCTTTCAATGAGTATCCTGATTTCTGGGCCACATTTCATTGTAGGGGAGAGGTAGTTCATCCTTGCCAGCATTTGCTTCCAGATAACAGCTGCCATTAGACCACTCGCATCACAACTGATTTCCCCCTGTGTTTTTCTCTGAGCTGAGTGCAGGCATCAGGAAAACACAGCATAGCCCCCGCATGATTCATTTAGACCTGCCGTCCATTTAGACAAAACCATGTCTGAAAGTTTTCCTGGTAGTTCATGTTCTTCTTGGCTCTGTTCTAACTCTTAGTATTCTAAAAGGCACTAGAATTCATCAAAGGCCTTGAGACTGTGTGCAGCTATAGTAACCGCCTACACTGGTGAATGTACCAATGCAAATGAAAAGGGAGAAGTTCTTACACTGTTCTTTAGACATGGAGAAATCAATTAGGTAAGACCTGCTCAAAAACGGCTTCCACTGTCCATTCAGTTCACATGCTGCCATTTCCAGAGAAGATACACAGACATTAAAGGTTTTACTTTTATTCTCCCTTATTTTTGTCCTTCTCCATAACCCAATAAGTAGTTCATTCCTGAGTCTGGTACAAATTTAAATGTCACTCTCTTTCAAGTTCTTATCTGTTAGACTGTTAGCTTCCTGCCTGTGTTTGCACTACTGCTGGCACCACGGAGCCCCAGGCCTGACAGGGCCTTTTGCAAAAAAAAAAGTCTGCCTCACAGTTTACCATAGTGGTTTGCAATGATATAGTCTATGACTGAATATTCTTACACACATTTAGAGGAAAAGGCAAACCTACCTGCCAAGATTGCTTTTGTCTCTAGTCCTGTTGTTGGTTTCCACACTGAGGTTATCACAAGATTTGCTCATCATCCCAGCAGAAAGGTTTTCCAGATTTGCTCCATAGAGCACGTTCTCTGAACGAGACAGCCTCTGAATCAGGGCAAGGTGTTCACGCTGAGCTGCATATGTGGAATTTGATTTGTCTATTTCCATAAATTTACTTTCCTCTGAATAAGAAGGGAGAGGGGAGGAGGAAGGAAAGATAAATCCACTGATATTATCCCATCTTTTTAAGCTCAAAGCTGCTTTCTGTCTAACCTTTTGAACGTGCCAGCAAAAAAGACTGACACCACAGATATATTTGTTTTCGTATCCTTGAGGATATCTAGGCCTTGGAGTGAGTGGAAAGGGTTTCCAATCCATTTCTTTCATAGATGTATTTAGATTTCATTTCTATGAATTATACTGCAAATTCACTTTCCACAAAGACAGATGAAATGTGCAACCCTGTATAATTTAAACCTGAATATCTCTGTAAAGTATATTTTGTAAACGTTTGGTGTATGAGAAATATCTGTCTGTCAGAGACTGAAACAGCCAGGTTGGTAGCTTCCCATCCTTCACAGGCCCAGCACTCCAATATACATATATCTGAGAAGATAAGCGCTCTCATAACACATGCTGTCTTAAGTTCAGAGAGGGGCCAAGGAGCTGGCTGTTTGCTCTGAGTGATTCGCACAAGTAGAGTAGGGGACCATCTTGGTGGCAATGCTTGCTATCCAATTTTCCACCTCTGTGTGAAATCTACTACTTGCTTAATGACATCTGAGCTCTGCTATATACAAATCTATCCTCTCAAAAGATTTTATTTCCCTGAAACAAGATAGTGCTGGAGGCGGCATTGTTAATTTATTTAGGTTCTCAACTAGTGGGCTGGAGAGAGGATTTGAAGGAGAGAGGGACAGCAGGCAATTGGAGACACGTCAGAAAGCAAAACAAGAACTGTGCTTGGTACGGCCTAGAAAAAATATGGGCTTTAATTCTGCTTGTACATGACAGCTGACCTCCCGCGTGTTTTCCTAACAAATATTAGCCTGAATGCAACTTTCTAGAACACTACCTAGGTGCCCTCTTTCCTCAGTGACTTTGATCAGGGGCATTTGTTAAGGCATCAGAAGGCTTAACTGTCCACAGTATTAGCGCAGTCTGAGAGTTGCCATGGTGATTTCAAAGTAGGGGGCTGCTAGCAAGTTTTGAAGAGATGGTGACTTATACATCTGAACAGTGCAGCAGAAGGAAGAGTCTCCCTCAGGCAGAAAGGGCCTTATAATCTCTTAGAGTCTCACTGTGGTGGCAAAGGCAGCATTTTGAACTACTGTCTATCACTGACTTCACAAAGCCTTTTTTTCTGGGACAGCAAGCACACACCGAACCTCAGAAACTGCAGTCACACGGCTTGTGTAAGTCTGGCTGGTTTCTGTGGTTTTTGAGGTGCTTGTAATCAGGACCTGGGTTATAATTTTCTTAGCTCTCAATCTTTTTGTTCTCTTATATATAGAATGTAGTAATTTTTATTAAGAAATATTACCACAAGCAAATGTGACACAGAAAACTTTAAGATTTAAGATTCACTATTAGGACTCATTTTTATGCTACAAATCACAGTCTCACTAAGTTATGTTTGAAACTACAGAAGTTACAGGAGCCCAAGCAACAAAAGGTGCCTTGAACCTAAATGTCATCCTTGAATCTAAATGTCATGCCTTTTTCCATGGTAACAAATTTGTGCACGTGGAATTTCACTTTTCATTAAATAATTTTAGTGGGAAAGAATCAATATATCAATCATCCTGTTACATCCCATGATATAATTTCATTGCCAACACTTTTACAGTTTTACTAGAGGAAAGAGTATCCCAGCAGATGAGGCATGACACTTGATTCTCCTGCTATGACTCACTGGGTCAAATATTCAGTAGTTGTAAATGATGATGATTCTGTTCAAGGCAAAGGACACATCCTCAGCTAGTGAAAATCCATGTTGCTCCACTGAAGTAAAGAGCGATGACAGTGGTCAGCTTAGGCTGTTATTTCTTATGTGCCTCAGTTTCCCCATAATGATCCTCACCCATCTTTACAGAGTGTGCTGAGACCCGTGGGTGAGAAGTGCTATGTAACTGCCCTGGGTTGAGCAGAACCTTGTCTTAGAAACTATGGAAAATCTGCAGTTTAAGGAGGTAATAGTCATATCTTCTACAGACATGGCAAAACCATAAGAGCAGCTAGCAGCTACATAGTTGAGTGGGTGTAACTGATGTGCTTTTGGTTTGGTGGTTTTGTCCTGGGACTGAACCATAGGGTTGAACCCCTGTCTTATGCAAAGATAACCAGTTAACTAAGTTCAGCTCCAGCATATCTGGGCACTACTATAGTTATTCTTTGTGTGGACCATTTATCAGGTTACATTTGGGGTAAGCCTGACATGTTTCTTCAGAATTCTCAGCAGGTTTCCTGAAGGGAAGTGTAATCATGCTTTTTTTCAAATCTGAGTTTAGCTATATAGTTATTACCATCAGAGAACGCCTCTCCACGCCCTGCACACATACACGCACGTGCACACGCTAAATTACTTACACACCTCTAACTTCCAGTGAAGTAGGAGACTATTTTCTGCTCTGCACATGAGAAACTGAAGCACAATGAAACTGATGTGGCAGGTTCTGATTCTCAGCTTCACTGAATGCACCTTTCCTAAAACTTAACCTTGTCCTATGGCCTGAATAACGAAAGTGCATTTATACCTCACCTGATGAAGTTTGCCGAAGTTGCCTAGAATTCATCTGTGCATTGAATTTGTGCTGGGCAGAGCAGAGGTCCAGTAGATATTTACATGTCTTTGCTGTATCAGTAATGAAGGTGTGTTTCTTGCCACTGAAGCTGCTTTCAATCATGAATTTTTTTCTCTAAAGGGCAAAAAAAAGCACAGCTTGCTTCATATATCAGTCATTACACTGAGGCACTGAAAGTTCATTTGTATAATCTTGTTGGTTTGTCCAGTTGTATTTATGCCTGGCTGCATGCCTTTTGGGTGCAGTAAATGCCTATCATAATTTCAACAGTTGTTAGTGAGGTGTCTGTCATTGGGATCATAACTGCCCTATGCCAAAAGTCAAGAGCCTTTGGACATTGACTGCACTGGGAGCAGGTTGGCGGAACTGGCAAAATTTGGCCCTACAGACGTTAAAATGATTAAACCAATTTAATGTGAAAATGAAAACATCTTCAAGGGGCAGAAGGGCCATTTTGGGAGAGCAAACAGGCTGGGAAATGTGTGATGCAGGTTGACACCTACGCTGTATGATGGTAGGTTGATACTCCTCTGATGGCAGAATACCATTTAGAAAGGGTCACAATCTTGTCACCAATACTGGTTTGTTAACAGATGTCGATATACTAAGAGATGAGGATGGGAATAATAAGATCTGGAAGGAGGGAGACATGATCCCATGACATGATGTAGGAAGGAAAACAAAAGAAAAGGGAAAGAGAAGTAAAGATGAGAGGGGAATGAATATGGAATATGCCATAAAGAGGTTTGACATAGTCTCTGTAATAGTCAACACCAGGTTATTCAGTTTTATAGTAATTTGACTGCAGCCTTGGCAAAAAACTCCAGAACTAAACCTCACTAAGAACTGGATATCTTGGGATCCACATCCAGATCCAGCCTTGATTTTAGACTGTTTTCAAAAGGACTTGCCTGTACAGAGTGAGTCTAATCCTGGCTCTGAATGCAATAAATTTATCAAAGTGACAGGCAGAAGGGGAGTAAAGTAGTAGAGTGGAGAAGAGATTCACTTGGTTCCAACTCACATGAGCTGAAATTCTCTCTGTTTCACGCCACTGGAATCTTAAACTGGCAATTCTTGTGTGATTTTTGACCTCATACACAATGATGCCTTTGGCACAGATTCCCAGGATGATGTCCCCTCCTGCTCCTTTCTTCTCTTGGGACACATGGTAGAATAACACTCCATATTCAGGAAGTTGCTGAGTCACCTTGTAGAGAAGAAGTGCATTTACCATGCATTATTCAAAAAGAGGCATGGGGAGAAAAGGTAGGTAGATGGGAGAGGAAATGGTTTTGAGTGCCTTTACTGAATATTCTTTCACTCTGTCAAGAAATGTTTGGAAGGTCTTACCAAATTTCCATACTTAGTGCCTCACAGAATCATCACCTTACTTTGATATGTCATAGAGCCGTTACATGCATTCATTTTCCATGTGTAAAATTGAAATAACACTTTCCCACACACCTCATATGAAGAGGTAGGAGGATTATGTAGCTTCCTGCACAATAATCTAAACATTATTGTGGCGCTGAGGTACTCGGCACTTGTGTGCATTTTTGAACAGAAATCCATGCTGGATTAATGCTGCTTGACTACTGTTAAACCTTGTTTCTTTCCATTTGCTTTTCTGTGTCTTTGTTTCCCTGAGCAAACCCAGAAACCGTGAGATACAGCAAATATGATGATCTTAGTAAAACTGCTAATACTTTGGTGCCAGGGCTACTCTGACATTGTTATGGGCTTGTGTGGTTTCCTTTCTACAATAGTGATGACCAACTAGAAATCTTAACTGCAGCGACACCACAGCTCCCAGCCTGCAATGAACTCACTCAGGTACATATACCCATTCCTTCATGGCTAGCATCTTTTAAAATCAGACATTATAAATCTCCATTGACAAGAATCTTAAGTTGTAGGGTTTGCTAAATTGTACCTCAAAGTATCTCACCTAAATATAGTGGTGACTTTTCAGGGAATTTCACTGCCCCAGAATTCCCTTCAGTGCCAGACTTTATAGTAACAGATCTTCAGTGTCGCTTCTTTCTTGCACAGTGCTCATTGCTGGGTGAAAAGTTAAGCAGAATTATACTTCAAGGGACTGAGGAGCCAGGTTCTGCCCCGCCATCTAACTGCAAAGGATACTCTGAGAAACACACTCAGAGGTTCTGGGTGTTGTCACTTGTCTTTCTACCTCCTGCACTTGGCCACAAAATGTTAAAATGTGACTCAGGCCCTTTACAGAACTATGGAATATGAGGAGGGTTTTCTGTCCTCTTTTGTTGTCTGCAGATCAATATGAGTTTATTCTAAAACTTTTTTTTTTTTCTGGGAAGCTAATGTAGAGTCCCCAAATGACTTTTAAACCATGAATAGAGATTTTCAGTGACCAAAATAAAACACTTTAAGAAGATCTGTTTTTCAGAAAGTATCCAGAGCATAAATGTTCAGGTCCTGAAAACTGGGGCATCTATAATCACTAGATGAATCTGGGTTTTAATTTTTAATCCCTTTCATATTTGGAATTTGCATGTTCTTGCCATGGGGGCTATCTTTCTCACTTTGTATGGTGTGTTGACTCCTTCTACAGACTTATTCATTGAAACAGATACTAACAAAGCTGCTTTTCTTCATTGGATTTGCCACGCATGATGGGACTGTCATTAACGCTAAGCTTCCATCTATTTCTTCAATTCCACTGACAGTGCTAGATGAGGAACTAACATAATTAAACAGCAACTGAACTAAAATGATGCTATAAATAAAAGCATGTGGCACTGCAGCAAAATGGCTACTGATATTTATCCAGTCTAATGCCTGATATTTTTCATTTGATGGAAAGCAGAAAAGTTTGGGGGAGAAGGAGAAATTAGGGGGGGAAATATTAAATCCCACATCATTGTGACACCCTAGAGCCCTAGAGAAATAGTCATGTGAGAAAATACTTCAGATAACTCCTTCCTCACTTCCAGGGTTCACAGATATTTTTAAACAAATAATCAGTACCTGTTTAGAAAGTGGCTGAACAGCTGCTACAGTTTCAGAAGTCAAGAAAGTGCTTATTCCCATGTTCTGTAATAATCTCTAACACATTCAGTACATGTATTTATAATCATCTAGAACCCAGACATGTCGGTAACATGCTGAAAATTTGCATCAACCCTTAGGATGTTGAAAATACCCTGAAATGTGCATTAAACCTGTATAATCTATCAGTGAAAGGAAACCTACCATGTAAATGTGATGTAAGTTATTTAGAGTGACAGCATCTACAGCAGAATGAAATTCTGAGGTTTTTGTTGACTATTCAAATTCGTTGACCTTATCTAAAATCCACTGTATCAGGCAAGAAGGAAATAATAGACAATGGTAAACAGAGAGGGAATTTCTATCTCAAAATAAATAAATAATGTTTGGGGTATGGCAAGTTACCTTTAAAAATTCTAGTTCAGCTTCATCCTCAAACAGGGAACGATTCATGCGATGTAATTTAGCAAGCTCTCGTTGTACATACGCCAGGGTCATTTTCTCTATTCGGCTTGCTGGAATGTAGTCTTCAACACGAAAATAGCTCTTTCCATGCATCTTTGGGAGAAAAAAATGGGGGGAAAAAAAAAAAGAGAGGAGCCTTCGGTTCTTTCTTGACTTTTCTTATGTGGTGCATTTCCATTTTCAGGGTGACCCGTATGCTGAAGTCACCCTGTTGCCATGTCCTAAAAGATGGGGAACTGCAGCTAGTGCCCTGACAGCCAAATGTGCCTCTTGCACCTGTGCTCAGCCGGGTGCTCAAAGCACACACTACTTCTCTGTGCAGAGGGGAGAAAAGAGCTGGGCCTACAGGCCTGCCTGCAGTCTTGCACTTAGAGCTGACAGCTACAACTGCATCAGTACAACCCACAATGGGGGACCCAATGCTGGGATGGATCCGACCAGATGGGTCAGACCACTCAGAGTTCGATTAATAGAGCTACACCGATTTATATCACTGAAGATATGGCAGAGAACATAAACAGGTATTTTCTGTACGCTTCAAAACCAGGATAACTAATTCAGATATACCATCAGCAACCTTCCCGTCTTTGCAGCTTGTGGATCTGAGCCTACACACAAAATAGCTGTGAATTCTGGAGTGCTTATTTAATTTTCTCTTCCATGTTTTCTAATCTCTTTAAGTCCCTCTGCACATCCAAGCTGTGCTTATGTTGGAAATTTTCTACAGATTTTCTGGATTTTCTTGGCTATGTTATCAATTACAAAGGGCCAAGAGTCTTTCATCATTCTGCCATATTTCCTGCCAAATTCGTCTGGCTCATTACTGCTCCTTAATCAGGCAAATTTTGTAATTTTTTAAATTAAATCTGAAATGGGATTACTGAAGGACTTAGCTGAAATTATGTGCTATTCACATTTCTTCTTTAAACTCCATGTGGCAAACAAAAGCTGCAAAAGCTGTTGAGAGAGACCTCTGAGAAATATTGTATTATTTATCCACACCTCAGAAGCGTAATTGCCAAGCTCTGCCTGTAAAGCCAAAGCGCCGAGTTTCAGGGCAGTCTCATCATTGCAATATAATCGCTCCTCCAAAATATCTTTACGAAGCTGCAGGTAAAACTGATGCCTTGTCAAGCTGTGCCTGGAACACAAAAGGGATTAGGAACACAGGAGGAGCCTTGAACAGTCACCCTAAATACTACTGGTTTTCCTGCAGTCAGCAGAACCATGCACTTACTGGATAACATTAAAGTGGTTGACAAAGAATTTTATCCTTAGAAAGAGTGTGAAATTAATGATGGAGGTTTTCTTCTTGGGTTGGTCATTCCAGCCATCTGGGGCCACTTTGTACAGTTTGGTCTCCTCATCCAAAAAGAAGAATTCTTTACCTGAAATGAGAATTTTGGGTTCTGTGATAAGTCTGGAGATACTTCAGTAGATAAAAGTTCTGCTGTCTTCATTCAGTGCATCACTAGCAATAAAAAATAAAATGGATCATGGATGTCAGTTGAGATTTCCTTCTCTGTGTCATGTCTTAACTTATTGCTTCTTTGACGGAGAATTTAAGATTAACACTTAGTGTGTAATTTAGGATTACAATTGTTAGATGCTGGATTGGTGTGCTATCTATGGAATCACTCAAGAATTGATGGGGCTTGCACTCTGCTCACCGTTCAGGTTCTGCACCCCATTGTAACCCTCATGCCCTACACACAAGGTATGCTTCTTCCTAGTGTCTCAGCCGTGCTTGCCATCAGAAATGGGCTAGGGAGATGTGGGTCTTGCAGATGAAATAGCTGAGCCTGTACTCCGATTTATATCTAGGAACAAAGACAGTCAGCCTTCCTCAGTACAAGGCTTCCCAGAATTTCTGCTGCAGCTACATGGCTCAGTATTATTCCAGTGCAAGGCCGGGACACAGCCTTTTCTGCATGGGAATATCAGCCAGCAACAGTATGGCTGTGCTGATGCACAGTCCTAGGGTAGACATGCTTTACATCAGTGCAGTACAGTTTAAACCAATGTACCTTACTTCTGCTTAAGCTTTGGACCTGCTTTCATCTGAGGATCTTAAAGGATCTTACTGGAATTCATTAATAAAGTGACTACAGGGGCACTGAGGGAGAGAACTGTTACTGTAGTTAGCTGTGTCTCATTACCTTTCAGGTAAGCCAAGCCAAAGTAGAAATGTTCCACCAAGTTTGCATACGCCACCACGGTGTTGAAAACATCTCTTGCCTTGGACTTGATGTCACATTGCACCTCAAGGCACTGCCCGTTGAGTAGAATCACATTGAGATCCCTTTGGGACAAATAGGATTTCCCTTTTTTAGTCTAAGAACATGTAACAAAGAGTGAAGAATGAGTGCCAAGTACAAACAATGCAAGTTCCACAGCATTTTATTACTGAGGCCCCCTAGTCTCCTGTCTCTGCATAACCTGATGGAATTGGTCATAACACTGCTTCCCTTCTCATAAATTAATATCCCAAACATTTCTAATTTTTAAAAAGCCCAGGGAATCCCAACAAAACAGCTGAGCATACTCAGTCTCTACAATCACCAGGGTTATTCTAGGTTTGAGGATAATTCCAAATTGTCTTTGCCCTCATTTTTACTGCTGTATGCTGTCAGCCTTTTACCTTATCTTAATGAAAGGTAGAGGATGTGCCTGCAAACCGAAGTCCAATACATTGGCACTAGATGTCACATTGCATATTTGCTGTATAATCTTTGTCTCAAAAGTCTTTTGCTAAAGGGAGCATTCTTAGCTGCAAAGGATAAATTAAGCTATTTTCACACCAGCAGAAGTAACTACTTAGCACTGAGAATTAAATGACTTCCTTTCAAGTCTCAATGCCTCTGCAGGAACCCTAACTTGGTTTGGGAGGAGGACATGGCAAGCATACTGGGTTGGGACTCAGATGCAACTTACAAAGAGCCCCAACTAAAAGGTCACTAGATTAGTTCTAAATTCTTGATGTTCATACTTACCACAATTGATCCAGGCAGCTGTAAGGTCACTGGTGGTTCACTAGATAAAATAACAAATTCTGGACCTGAAAACTGTAAGGAGGCAATTTAGAAATTTAATAAATGTCTCCTTAATGTAATGAAGATCCCAAACACCAGTACCAATGAAACCCATTTCTGTTGATCTGTATGCTGTAGCTAATTGACTTCAGTGTCTAATAAGGTGCAAATGCTGATTGAAGACTTCTCTCTGTTTGGGGTCTCTCCTATGTGGACTCTCTGGGGTCTAATTAGGGGTAAGCTCATGCTGAAGCCTTTTCTTCTGTAAAGGCACTTAACCAAGATCCATTTCCTTTGCAAGGCACCTATTTTCATGACACTTACAGAAACTTAATTTCTTCTGAGACCTTTTCCCATTTGATTCCCAAGTTACTATGAGGACAGTCACAGACATGTACGCACATACATACACACCAGTGTGATTTCATAATCCCAGCTTCCATAGGGAACCAGACTAAAATGCAGAGCTGCTTTCTTCCCTGTAATGAAGGTTGACTGATATTTCTTATTAGCAGACATTGTGTTCTTTTGCTTTAACTTCAACAAACTTTAACAGCACAAGATGCTTTCTTTCTTGCTGAGCATCCACCTCAAGGAATTTTGCATATTGGGTTTTTTTCAGGTTCATCTATACTTTTAGATCCTTGAAGCAGACAGAAATAACTAAATGTCTGCAAGTGGTAAGAGGTGGATCCTTCCAACCATTCTCCATGACTTAGTACATTCACCCATTTAGATCTTTCTTTGAGAAAATTTATGGTTTGTTTCATAATACTAGAATTGTCCTGCCAACAGACAATGCAGTTTTGTTTCACATATAAAGAGGGACTAGCACTTTGTTGTAGCAGTTGCTGGACTCCTTCTGAGGAACTCAATTATTATCCCAGCAAAAATCATATTAACAAAATTTAAAACTAAATTTATATATAAAAAGATAATGTCCCAAAGTATCTAACTGAAACTTTTGATCAAAGTTCTGCCACTGGTCAGACCTGAGCTTGTGAACTGGGCACAGGTGAAAGGACTCACCAGCCTGAAACCTGTCCCTTCTACTTCCACAACAGAAAACTCCATGAGCAGCAGCATCGTGGAGTTATCTGTGATTCAGTTATTTCTGGATTTTTGTGATCCAACTGCCAAAGAAACATTATCCTTCCCATTTAACAGAGTCCTACAACAAATCAGCAATGAGAAATAGACCCTTAGGTGAACTATTGGTTTGGCACACTCACTGCTAGCCTATGGTTTCTGTCTAGGCATACACTGTAAAAAAAAAATAAGTCCTTTGAGCACTGTTGACCAACAAGGGTTTGGGTTTAGTGTCTCTGTAAATGTTTTTGCTGTTCTGAGGCTCCTGTCAAAGTGGTTGATGCAAACAGTCCATATGGTGTTTGATGCTTGCAGAAATCACACATGTAGGTCAGAGAGGGTTCAATTATAAGCTTTTGCTTAGTCTTTATGGACAAGAGCTTTCACTGGCTTCAGTTCTGAGTTTTCACAACTGGATCATGCCTAATTTGGAGTCTGTCAATTTAGAATACTCATCTAATGAGACGACTCAGTAGCTAACATGCACGTTACTGGCGAACGACAACTGGATGAGAGGTTTCTCTTTAGTGATATTTACATTTTGAAATCAGCTTATACATTTTTCATTAGTCACCTTTTCCTTCCTGTGGAACAAACATTTCTGTGATGCAGCAGCTGCTGTGTAGTCCTTTGTAGACACGGAGAAGGTGGAACCTAAACTTAGCAGGTTCTGTCTGCTGTTTTGAGTTCCACCAGGGATTTCTTCTACAGCGCTGACTGACCTTCAAAGGAAATGTCATAGTGAGCAATATATATAGCATGCAATCAAAACAACGCAGACTTAAGGACAAAGAGTGTAAGGTACATTGACTGGCAGAATATTATGAAATCCAGGGCAATGTCGGTTATAAGTTGTTAAATGTTACTTTACAGAATTAAAAAATAAATTTAACAGGGATAATATTACTGATGCCCTTTATAAATAAATCTAAACTATGCTTTAATTCAATAACAGTCTTTTTTTGTCATTTGGTGAGCCAGATATAGCTGGTTTAAGTCTGGTGAAGCCAACAGGCAAAGAATTTAGCCCTGTGCTTTTCTGGGAATTCTACAGGATGAAGTCAATTCCTCATTTCTTATTTTCTGAAACAAAAAAGCTTCAGAAAACCATAACATTTGTTGTTTAATTATTCAGAATTTTCCAGGAATGGGAACTAAATTATTTGAATACTAATTCATTTGAATAAATTAATGTCTTATGGAACTGAGGGAGTTTTCAATTTAATTAAGAGAAAGATGTGTGAAATCTCAGATCAGAAAGCTGTCTTTATACTATACTTTTAACCCATACAGTAATGGTGTTTTCCACACGAGCAGACACATGTATGCTTAGAATAAACTTAAAATATACTATATACTCTTACCAATGAGGAAAGAATGATTATGTGGTATAGAAGGAAAGGTTTTTTTGAGGTAGATTTTTGTTAATTACATTTTTAACAAATGCCGAAGTCACATGGAAGCTTTTTTATTATCCCAAAGTTTTATCCTTTTCTTTTGCATGTTGCAGAGTTGCTTCAGGGAACTATTCAGGGAGTTTCAGAAGGTTTTTAACAAAGTTACTGGAGTAGCTGCCGATCTCTTCTCCCTGGTACCCAGTGACAGGACACGTGGGAATGGTTCAAAGCTGCGTCAGGGGAGGTTCAGACGATATTAGAAAGCGTTTCTTTACCAAGAGGGTGGCCAAACACCAGAACAGGCTTCCTAGAGAGGTGGTCAATGCCCGAAGCCTGTCTGTGTTTAAGAAGCGTTTGGACAATGCCCTTAATAACAGGCTTTAACTCGGTCAGCCCTGAATTGGTCAGGCAGTTGGACTAGATGATCGTTGCAGGTCTCTTCCAACTGACCTGTTCTGTTCTGTTCTGTTCCATTCTGTTCTGTTCTATTCTATTCTATGCTATTCTATTCTATCCTAGTTTGCATTCCATTCCTCTGTCTATAAAAATATCTAGACATTTTTGTTTCTCTCAATGCAACCTCATAAAGATCAACATTTAACTAAGAAATATGCCTAAAAATAACCTGAAGTGACTTTTCTGGGTATAAAAATACTATTAGCTCAAAACCCAAGATGCTGCATTAAGAAGACTTTCTTTTCCTGTGGAAAACACTTCCTGTTATTAGTCCTGCGAGGTGAGAGATGCCAGACTTTACAGCTGTGGCTTCTTTATATATAGGCAATAGCCCTGCATATACTTACAAGCTTAACTTTATGAGGTGTAAATTATGTCAGTTGGACTGCTTACAGAAGTGAGCATGATGATATTAGTAAGCTTTATAGATAGTAAACCCATCACTGTTTCGTGCTGGTTCTCCGCCTATGTGGGAAGTTGGTGGTTTCCAAACTAATTATTTCAACTCCACTGTTGTCAGGGTACTTACAATACGATGGTGACCTTGGTAGAAATTCAATTGGAGATGCTTACAACCAAAAGTGGGGTTTACAGTCCCTGAAGTTCTGTGGGAAACAGCTTGCTGGAAATTTGGAGAAGAGAGTTCATCTTTCAGCACGGAAAAGGAACATTTTCTTGGCAGCATGATTTTAGATCAAGGATATCAAGATGATACCCAGGTTGGTAGTCAGAGGCATGGCAATTGCTCCAAAATACTGAGTAAATAAATCTTCTGTTACTGATATCATTGCCAGGTGTGTGATGCATATATAGATGTCTGTATACACACACACATATATATGTATGTGTGTGTAGTTAGACAGGTAGACAGAGAATTCTTTCTTCACAAAAGCTGCCACTATCCTGCAACCTGCTTGTAGTTACTTCTTACTGCAGGTTTAGAGGTGCGCTGGGGTATCTCACACCGCTCAGATTATCGTGGCTGATTTATCAGGAAGTGCAAACTGTTTACTTGGGATACATTTAATTGGGAGTTGGTCTAAATGGAGCATTTCCTGTGGGCCTGAATTACTCATGTCATGGTTAAAAGAAGAAACTTCTGGTTAACTGGGTCAAGAACTCAATTTAAATCGGATGTCTGTAGGGATTACATGGTGCTTAACTATGGGTTCCTGGTCTTTGTGGTGCCTAGAGGCTAGCAGTACTTACATCTCTTCTTCATTTGGAAACAGCCATGATTACAGCTGCACTATGCTAACACCCAGTCTAGAAAACTCTTGTTTGGCAGCAGTGGTGTTTGCTTGGCTTTTGAAAAGGAGTTAGTATCAGTTGTACAATTCTCAGCTTTCCTTATCTATGTACAGGGCTGCTGTACATGCCATGGTTGAAATGAGGCTAATCCTCATGACAGAGCAGAGGTCTTTACTGCTTGTGTCCTTGGGTTACCTATAACTCTTCAGTAAAGTGGTAGCACAGGGCTGGACATGGTTGACAAAAGTGAAACAAATCAATCTAAGAACTGAGATGGAAATGCAAATAATCCACTGAAAATGATGGATCGTATACGTGGTCTGTCATAAGCACTCCAGAGCACATCATGCCTCTGCTAATGTGACAGCAAGGCAAGACCAGATCCAAAATCTGAATGTAGACAAATACGGACTCTGCAGAATGCCTTGCCAATGAAAGCAATGACTGCTCATACCTTTTCAACAGGTTTTTCCCTTCCGCGCTCTCTGTGGAGCTGCTTCCCAGTTGTTTCAGTCACAGTGAGCTATTGCTGCTTACCTGTCTGATTCTGACGGAGACACACTAGGGGCAGCTGTTCTGGGAGGCCAGTGACACCTGGCAGGACACAGTGGCAAAGAGTAAAGGTGGAAAACTTCAGTGTGCTTGTTTTGTAGGGACTGTTCAAGGCCCAATCTCCATTTCACTGGAGCATTGGGACTGTTTCGCCTGGAGCCAAACCAAGTCTAGGTGCACTTTCATTCTACATAAAGAGTATCTATTATCAATACAGGTTCAGACAGCGATCCAGCCATTTTCTGATAATGACATTGCCACACTAGTTGTCTGCTTCACTTGGTAATAAAACAGCTTCCGTCTTTTAGGAATACGAGTTTTGATTACCTGTTTATGAAGAGCTTGTAGCTACTTTGTGTCCTCGACCCACTAAGGGTGGGGTCCCATGACCTGTGTGTCTGTGGAACTCTCCCTGAAATGAATAAGGGAAATTTCACAATTGAAGCAATTGTAGCAGCACTCAGCATCAGATCTTGGGACAATTACAACAAGGAGGAAATTTAGACTGGCTACTTCCTCTGTTGTGTCCTTGCTTGGGCATGATAAATGGCTATTTGATAAGGCTAAGTGAATACTACACCAGCAGTAGTCCCAGTTCTGTAGTTATTGTTACTTCCTCTTCATAACCCTTCATGTGAATGTAATTTGGAAAATAGCTGTGTAGGTACAATGGTTGTTATTTCCATATATATGGGGGTAATTTGTGAAACAGCTTTTGCTTTTCAGAAATCACCCCTAGTATTCTTTGTTCTTCTATTTCCAGGCATGAAACTGGGGGGGGGATGGGGGGAAGCCATGAAACTTCCCTGGCTTAATCAGAGTAGGATATAAAATCACTGAAATGAAAACTGTTTAGAAATATTCCACTGGTTATTTGCTACATTAAATATATTGTGAATGTTTTTACATCATAAAAATCTGGTGGGAATATAGGATGGTTTGTGAGTCATTAGCAAATAAGATTTGTATAATTTTTCACCTTCAATCATCTTTGATGCTACAGAAAGGATGGGCATTGCTTTGTCCAAATACACGAAGGCTGGAATTTAGAGGTAGAACCAGAAAGGGTTATGCAAGTGGTAGTTCCATGAACATTTCTTCTAGCAGCAGCGATGTTTTAAATCCTTTAGGGAAGGGTGGGAAGGTTAAATTTTTCTTCATTTGGATCATTCCATTGATCTTATTTGAAGCATTGCATATCAAACTATTGCATAGGCAGAATGATAGAGGTGATAAGATGAGCTATGTGGAAGCAATCATTTAGGTCAGCTTTTTCTCCGGGTAAAATATCCATGAACTACTCCCTGAGACCTCACTGAATTCCAACATGAAAACATGACA